TGAGACAGACGCAACAAATAGATGCAAGAACGTAGACTCATCCCAAAAGCATATTAACTTCAAATTCTTCTGACGAACATATGATTATTTGCAATTACTAATTACTAATTAGCATCTCGATTAACTTTTCATTGCATTATGCAGCAAACGTGATGTACTATACACATATTTTTTATATTTATGTTGTATCGTATGATGTTTTTAAACGGTTATCTAGATGCAATTATATAATTAATTTATCATAAAAAATACATCTTAAATTTTAAATCAATTTTCATAAATGATGTTAATTATTATTACTTTTGTACTTCTTTACTTTATAAATCTTTGAGCTATTGTCATCTGATTCCCTATCTGACTTACTGCTTTGTATTTCCAATTCTAGGTCTTCAGTTGCGTCTTTTATTATTCCATCTTTCGTCTAATATTCGTGTTCCAGTGTTTCTACATGTTTACAAAATCCTTTCCAATCATTTGATGTCGTTTTGTTTATTGCCTGGCGTAGTAGTGCTTCCAATTCATTGTAAGTTGACTCTGAGATAACATTTCTTTCGTGGATATCTTACTCCTATGTTAACGTATCACGTTACCGAACTTGGAGATAGTAGTGTTGGGAGTGTCATAGAAGAGTGGGTATTACTAGTGGAATACCCTTCTTGCCCCGCATCCGAACGAGATGACTTCTTTTCAGCCACGCATAGTAAACGCCCCACTGGCAACCTTTTGTACTAAAAATACTCCTGTCTAACATGGAGCAAAAGCTAGTGACACTATGTATGTATAAAAGGGAATTTGGATCGGCATACTAAATTTGAATATTCTACTTAGAAAAATTCACATTTTTCGGAAACTAAGAGTGATCGACGAATTTTAATTTCGGATTCGTGTCTATGAAAGTAAACATTACAAGAATTAGTTAATGGATATTACAGATGAGAGAAAAAGTTAAAATTTGTTGGAGAGTGTAATTGTTTGGCAACATGACAGCAGATAACTATACATCCTACAGTTACAAGTTTGAAATAACAGCAACTATATAAATTATAATCATTCCTCTAGTATTGCAGCGTAGAACGTAAAGAAATTAGCTGTATGCAAATTATGCAAATTAAAAAATGTTGGGAACCACTAACTTAATGTTAGAAGATTATTTTTCAAATCATTATAAATTAAGACAGGATACTTTAAAACTCTTGAACTCTCTTTTGTATAAATCATTTTCAAAATATTGATTTAGCAAAGGTGGATTGTCACAGCACGTAGTTTAAAATTTGATAATCTTAAATTCTATTATGAAAGGTTATTTAAAGAAAAGTGTTTGTATATCAAAACATCTAAAGATATAAACGTTATACTAGTTGAAATACGTTAAAATTTATTGATAGAAATGTAACAGTAAAAATACAGAAAAATCCTTCTTCAAAAAATAATAAATTTTTCCATTGAGTACGTATACACAATAATTTGACTAATATTCTCGCTAAGCTGCGCGCATGCGTAGATACGTACTGACGCAAGTGCTCTGCGCACGCAGAACGTTTCCCGCGCAGTGGCGATTCATTTGTTTGATATGTCAGATATATTTCGATATCTAGCATTGTCGAAATTGTGTACTCAGAGAAATAACAGTCAAAGGGGGTGAGGAGGGGGAAGAAAAGGAAACAAATGTCGGCTGTATATACCAACCAAAAGCTCGTGAATGCATTCAATCTTCCTTTTTTGATACAATGATGCAAAATTTGAGTGAATAATATCCTTCTATACATCAGGTAATACTAATGTTGGCAACATATCAACTCGAGGATTCATATTTCGAGAATGACTTAAGCAAAAGGATACGAGTAAATTATCTTTTGAAAATATTTTCATGTCAGCTATATAATCACACAGTAGAAGATATAATTTTATATTAAGCAAACTTCATAATTAAAAATTATATAAAATAAATATAAGGTAATCATAAACAGCAAATTTATATTTTAGTATGATGTAATATATAATATTTATTTTTATTAATTTATCTATATGTATATTCAGTAACAATTATAAGGAGAAAAATGCTGGACCCCATTCAGTTGTACTCCATCCAGTATTTAATGCCAAATTTGAAGGTTAAAATGATATATGTATAAATTTTAGTACAACTAAAATAACTGTTACTTTATTTTATGTATGTAATCTTAAATCATAATATTTGATTTTAGGGTCCAGATCAAATGCCGCGTAGGGTTGAAATTCAGGACCTTAAAGGTGGAAAATATAAAGCAACCTATCTACCTGATGACTGTGGTCGTTACAAGGTCAATGTCAAATATGGGGATAAGGAGGTACCAGGATGTCCTGTGAATGTTCAAAGCGTTTCCACTGGTAAAGCTGATCAATGTAAAATCAAAGAGGGTATTCAACGCACCTTGGCCCAAGGTGAAGAGTACTGCATCACCGTGGACACCGAAAACGCGGGTCGTGGAGCGGTGACCTGTCGTATACGATCTACTTCCGGAAGGTAAGTCAATTTCTGCCCACTTTGCTTATTTAGTATAGTAAGTTACGAGAGGTAAAATTTTTACAAGAAGACTTAAATTATGATTTTAATTGCAGTAGCAGAGCATAGCTATTTTATTATGATGTAAGAAGTATGATGTAAAGTAGGAAAGATATAAATAAGGATTTATACAATATGGATCTTATCAATTACAATAATTTTTATCTGCGAGATATAGGAAAAATTCATATCATCTAAACATTACGTTTGTAAACAAAATAAAATTATTTAACACTTTTTGTGTTATTCAAATTATCTAGGAGAGTTTTGAAAAATTATGGCAGGTTTGAAAGATGCTTATCTTTGTCGTTGAACATATTGATGTCACTTTTAAAGTTACTAAACCGAATTTTTAGATCATAATTATGTGACAAATAAAAATATAACTGATTTATTTATACGGATATATTCAGATGATAAATTAATTGTAACTTTCATGAAGAAATTCGACTTAAAATAATTCAGTATTATGAAGTACAAAGTTCTGAAACATTTGTCAAAATTTTCTTCTAGCTTAATAAGAAAATTTGTTTCTTAAAATCTAGCAGAAAGATGTTTTTAAAAAATTTAGAAAAAATTATCCTGTCTTTGTATAGTTCTATTTAAATGTACAAACGCTATTAATTTCTTTTATTATTAATTATTACATTTTATTAATTACTGTTAATTTACGTATACATATTATTCACTATAAATTTCTTTACAGTAAAAATTCCAAAAAAATGTTTCACGTAGACAACCGCGAATTTGAATGTTAAACTACAGATTATTATAATTATTTACATAAAACTACATATAGTATTAATTTTAAATTAATTCTAGAGTTAGTAGGGAATTTGGTACAGTAATAGGAATAATTAGGAAGAATGCTTCTAAATTTTTGGCTATTAGTATAGATACAGTGATTACCATGAGTTTCATATTTTTTTACAGTTTCGAAGCATAATGAACATTTTGTTACACACTACTCCTATTATTATTACTATTATTTTCATTTTTTTAAATTTTATTTTTGTAGTTTTTTATTTCATTTTATTTTTACACATTTTTGCTAATTTTACCTTTGTTTATTTCTTACTTTTATTTCGATTGTAATCTGCACACTACTCCTATTATTATTACTATTATTTTCATTTTTTTAAATTTTATTTTTGTAGTTTTTTATTTCATTTTATTTTTACACATTTTTCCTAATTTTACCTTTGTTTATTTCTTACATTTATTTCGATTTATTTCTGCAAAGTTTATATTACGGAAAAACTTAGGTCACCCTGTACATTTTTATTATCGACAATTTATCAAACATTCTAAAACTTCTGTATCGACATATATAAAACGAACCTTTTCGAAAACGATTTATTCGAAATACAAATTCGATGATCGTGATGGATATTGGTGTCAAGTGTCAAGATCGAGTACGATACAGGAATGAGAAATTGGACAATTGGTAGCACAATTGATTCCCTGTATAGTCGCTTATTTATCGAAATCAGAGACACTGTGGACTCGAATTTCAATTAACAATAGTTAAAATTCCATCGGTTTGTGAATTCGAGAATAAAATAACGTTTACTCGGTTGTTATTCGCTGTAGAATGCCAAGAAACCTAAAAATTCTATTTAAATTCTCGATGTTTTTCTTGGTTGTAAATCTAATAACATGCTTCATCAAAATATTCGACTTCTTGATAGTAAATTTTCCGTTCGCATCTTGGCACAGTTAAATATTCGTGACACCTGTCGCAGAAATTTCCAATTTTGACAGAATCGCTTGTTTATTATTGCTTATTTACGTTCTCAAACCAATATTTCCCCATTATCATCAATGGTTCGAATTATCGCTTTGTAAGAAAATAGTTTCTCGATGTTTTGACTTCAAAATTTTCGCTGAAATGAGAGAAAATAAATTAACGACGGGTTTAGGATTTCTCTATTTTTGGTTTTTGATTAAATATGTTGACTGTAATTATAGATCTAGATTTTCTTCCGTTCCCGTAGTCTGTGCAAATTTGTGTTTATGAAAATGAGAATTAATTAATTATTAATTATTAAATTTTAATTTTACGTCCTACTCTGAACAATTATTAACTATAGTAAGATTAGAACAATCAAGCTCATTAAAAAAACTGGTTTCAAATATTTTATAAATGAACCTAACGTTGAGTTTTATTTGAATGAGAATTTTAATTATTATTATTATTTTGGAGGATTTTCAAATTTGATTATTTTGAAATAAAATAATTTTTTAAAGTATTTTATAAGAATATTTCATAAATTATTTTACGTGAGATGTACATTAATGTAATTGTAATTAAATGATTTATTTTTCATTTTATAAAATTGATTATTTGTTATTTGATCTTGATGAAAATAACTAGTTTCTTAATATGCAATATTAAATGTTTATATTATTACTGCTTTCTGTTAACGATTATTAGTATATTATTATTACTATTACCATTACTATTACTATTATGATTACTATTATTACGATTATTAGTATACTTATTCAGTACATAATCTATAGTATACTTATTCGATATCTCTTCTAACCTCGACTTGTTCGATTTACACGATTCACTCTAAGATTTTTAATTACTATTTAACTTAACTTTGTAGATTATAAGTTTGCTATTATAAGTTTGCTGATCACGATTTTTTCTGTGTCGATTACTGTTTACTCTCACCATATCGATTACAATCCATTTTAACATTACTGATTATGGTCTATTATATTATGGTCGATCCTCTATTCACTACGTCTCGACTACACACATTCTATCTTCTGCCTTCTTTAGCTTCTCTGCCTTCTCTGTGCCCTTGCACCCTTATTTAACACGTTAAGTGCCACGCCGGTCCCCAGGGACCGACGCTGGTGTCACGGAAAAGGTGGTTAGAGTCAAACAACTCCCGATGACAATAAATTATCGAGTTCGAACGTTCGTTCGAACTAGGTTGAATTGTTCGGACAATGCAAAGAGTCGAGATATTTAAGTGTTCGTGTCTATTGTACCGTAGTATCAATAGGTCTTTACCAGTAGCGCAATTATAATGTCCCGTAGTAACATATACAACTCGCGAGTAAAGGTTCAACGAAATTCTGTATGGTTTGATGGTACGCTTAAGACTGTTTTATTCTCTAGCTCGGTCAGCTTTTATACATGAGTTGTTTGGGGGTGGTTCCAAAGAGTGGGGAAGGATATTTATGATTATTGGAGATAAGTGAGTGTTAAGCCTTGGAATGTCGTCCCGGTATTTCATTCGGCCCTTTGTTTATAATAGGCCCAGAAGACCGTTAGGGTCTTCTGGCAGCCAGATTCTAATTGCTGTTTTAGTTCAAGTTCCGTGTCCTTTCTATCTTCATTTTCAATGCATTTTCAAACAATTCTTTATTTCCCTCGGGTCACCGGACACGAGGCTTTCTTTAGCCATTAATGTCAGAAAGCAGGCAACAGCACTTAGGATTTGGCTGACAATAGGCCTGCAAAGAAAGGGACCAGGCCATGTGCGATGTCGCGACTTTCGGAGCCATAAAGTAACGGGTCCTTCAGGAAGGATCACGAATGTGCCGGTGGTCCACCAGCGACCCCCTTTGAGGGAGAGGCTTCCTCCACCGGCAGACCTGGTCGGCCTCTATACCTGGGGAAGTCAAAAAATATCCTACAATAAGATGTCTGGCAGTGTGGGAAATTGGAATTGAGCGTTTGTGTAGAGGGTTAAATTTTAGGATAATAAGTCTATTTTTGGGTATGGCGCCAGATAACTATGCAGGAGGTTGATAATTTTGGGCAGGGGAAGCAAGTTTGAAAGTAGGATTGTAGGGGTTTATCACACTAGACCGGCCCAAATTGGGACTAAAAGGTGCTAAATTTTGATGTTAAATTCTTCGCCATCTTTGGACCTAACGTTTGGGAATTCCTGTTATAACAATTGGTACAGTATTTCCGAGTTTTGTGAACACTTCATTCGCCATCGGTGGCCCAATTGACGGCCGAGTCTGGGCCTGAACAGAACGACAAGCAAAACACGTGTTAAAGTGGGTAATTAATATGTTAAAGTCTAACACTCTCTCTTTTCATACACAAGCTCTCTTCGTTGATCACTCATTTCTCACGCAATCTCGCCTTTGGTGGACCAAGTACTCCACACATTCGGACGCATTCCTAGACTTTCGTTCATTCCTTGCACTGAACTCATTGTCAGTCATAAATATCTCATCCGTACAGTCCTCACACTTGGTCACCAATCCGTCCACATGCACTCCAGACATCGTCCTAAACGCCTAAGTCGAAGCCGATGTCGTTGTTTATTATTCCCTTGCTAGAGTCTTTCGGTGCTCGCAACCCTAGCTATATATGGCCGTATATCTATATATCTACCCGGTATATACAGTGACTCACAAAAATATTCGGACACTAAGGTATGTCTGAATTAATCACTTAGTATCGCAGATACTTATACACGGATCGTGTTCGTTATTTATTCTGGGGATAAGATGTTTATTTAAGTTAACAAAGCCATGTGTTTTATTTAATAAATTTATATGGACTTACTATAACAAATTATAAATAAAATAATACCCTATTTACACGTCACAAAAATATTCGGACACTTGGCATAAATAACATTATATAACCCTAATTTATTTATATAAACACATTTTTTAATATTTTGTCGCATAGCCTCTTTGTTTCAATACGTGCCTCAATCTGTTAGGCATATTAAAAAATGATTTTTCCCAAATAATTAGTACCGATAGCAGCCCACTCCTCCAGCAACCTTTGTTTTAGTTCCTCTTTTGAGTTAATTGCTGTCTTTCGTATTCTGCGATCTAACTTATCCATAAATTTTCAATGGGATTGGGGTCCAGCGATTGTGGTGGGGGATGAAGAACTTTCGGGCAACGATAAAGCAAGAATTCTTGAACAATGCGTGCTTTATGTTTGGGGTCGTTATCCTGAT